AACATCAGGGAGGGCTTACAGAGTGTAGAATTGTAATTAAATATAAGCAAATAGGTAAAATTCAATGTTGATTCACATTTTGAAGCAAGCAGACAATGGATGGGTGTGCATTCCCAAAGGAAAATGGCAGTTTCCCAGATGTAACATGCGTCTGGCTAACTTTCATTCCAAGATGGAGTTCCTTGAGGTCCCCAAGGTATTTGTGAGGGTCTAAAAATAGCCCTTCCATTTAATTTTAAAATGCCAGCCCTTTTGAGTTGAGAAAACAAGCGCATGAAAGGCTTATAACTGGACGAATTCCATGCTGGGCATCAACCAGTTGTTGTCTGCTCACAATGAGAAGAGGAATGAGACCAGCTTGAAGATGCAGCTGTCTAGACGTGTAGTCACCTTTCGCAGTTAAATGTCACGGTAATTCCTCATTAAAGTTTCGGCGAGACCCACAAAATCTCGATGAGGGTAAACAAAAGGAAGTAATCAAGCTCACTCCCCTAATGGCTGTCTGTTGCAGTTGGTATGTAATAGCCCTGTAAAAGGTTTTATTTTGTCTGTATGGAAAGAGAGTTGGCCGAGCCAAGCGGTTTAGCCTGCATGCTCAACCACGATTATTTGTGACAGCGCACCTCACTTGTCTTGGGAGAGGTCGGCATTTGTGCGTGAGCGCCCAGGATGCGTTCTGTTACCAGTTGCAGCCAATTTGATGGAAGGGCGCTCGGTTCTCATGCCCAAGGTTCTCAGTTCGGCCTCGAGCAAATCCCAGTGGGGCTGGAAATACTCCTTCCTGAAACCCTGGGTACTCATTGCTGCCTGTCTATCAGCATTGACGGTCCTGGGCTAGATAGGCAGGTAGGCCAAATTTAGTAGAGGGCAGCTGTGGTGCAGCACCTCTTTCTGGGGAGGCTGGAGAAAGAGGAGGTGCTGCCATGCATGGTTTCCCTTGAGGATGCTGTCACTTTGCAGGCAGGCCGAAGAGGAGTCTTAGGAGAGCTGGCCATCAGTTCTGTCCGCGTAAAACGGCCCACGTGGAGTCGGTCAGGATTCCATCAGGGCCTGCTGATTGGTTTTTTCCTAGTTTGGCAGTGAGGTCTAAGCAGCCTTTTCCCAATCTAGTCCCCCCCCTCCCCCCCCCCCCGATGTATTGGACTGCAGCTCTCAGCAACCATGTTGGCTAGGAGTGATGGGAGGTGCAGTCTAACACATCTGGGGGATACCAAGTTGGGGAAGACTAAACTAAAACTGCATCTCTTGCCAGAAGGTGGGTTCCTTTTCTGCCTAAATAACCGAAGGCCCTCCCCTGAAAGCCCTCTTCAGCGTCAACTTGCAGAGAGTTGAGGCTGATGGTTCCATTGTTTGGGGATGGTTCCATTGTTCTGGTTGACTTTCACCTCAGGTTTTTAGTTGCCTCCACTGGGGCAAAAGCTACAAGGGCGCATAGGAAACAGTGGGAAGCGCTAGGACTTTTTCAGCATCGTGATAATGCCTTTGATACCCCTGTTTACATATGGGGGATGGCAGTGGCTTGAGGGAACAGCATATGACAGTCCTGCAGCGTAGTGCAATATTATTCTCCAGCCTCCCGGTGTCGCCTTTGCATGCTTAAGTGAAAAGCAGCCTCTGTGCTGGATGTTGACGGCCACTAAGTTTAACTGTATTTAAAATTCTTTAGTTTGTTATATTGTCCAGCTGCCCCAGGGTGAAGGACACGCAAGATGGCTGGTAGGGCTGGCTGCTGGCATCTGCAGGGGCAGCTCCACTCAGCTTCCAGGCACTGCCCAGCACCATGTCTCAGTACATAAAGGTCACTGGGTTGGGTTCCCTTTATTGCCACAGAGTGGCTAATGGTGCTTTTGGCTAGCAGGCTTTCCTTGCTGGCAGCCACTGTCTTTCTGGCATCTTCAGATGTCTTCTGAAACTTAATCCATGCTTCTGACTGCAGGCCGAAGGTGGACCTTACCTCAGACCCCTGCACATAGAAAAACAATACATCAGCACCTTGGCTAAGCTCAACTCCAACTTGCAGAAGTGCTGATTTTCTGTATGCGAAGCCTCTTTGTGGATGGAAGAACGTTCTGCCATGTGAGCCTGCAGCTGCTCTCAGAAATAGTAGTTGACCAGCCTTTGTTTGCAGAATTCTCTGTGGAGATGAGAAGAACAGAGTAGCAAACTTTTGCAGGGATAGAGTGAGAACAGAGCCCGAGAACGTCACTTGCCTATTGAATTCGGTCCTTAAGGACTCGAATGATGTCTGCACCCTTCTTTGTTGCTACAGCCTGACAGGACATTTAAAATGTTCGGGTGGGGTGCAGGTTTTAATAGCATATCCTAAGGCTTCAGGAGGAGGTGGGCTGCAGGTCCACTCACTGGTCCCTAGAAAGCTGTGCTTGGGAGTCTTTTAAATAACCTTCCTTTGACCGTGCAAGCCAGCCAGCGGATCTGCCGCACTCCGACTCTCTTCATCACTCATAAGGACAGAGGGAGGCTGATGCGCTAGGAGTCCAGGGCTCCGGGAGCTGGGAATCCATGCTGCATTCCCTGCCGGCATGGACTCTTGTGAACCGGGGGCCCACGGCTGACCTCCCTGCTAATAGATATAATTGGCCGAGCATCTCAAGGCCCAGCGCCTCTGCTCGTTGCTACATCTCCTCTGAGCTTGCAGAGCTTTGGCACGGATGTATTTATGTTCCAGCACTGGGCTCTTCGCTGTTGCCAGTCTATTAATTTTTAAGCTGCCTGGAGCTACAGATCGCGATGGGTGGCAGGCCTTTGCGGTCGCAGCACCAAACAGCTGGAATAAGCGACCTGTTCCATTGAAACAAAACCCCACCGGCCTCTGGTTTCTAGAAGGAGCCCTTAATCCGCTCTCTTAAGACCTGTCAGCACAAGAGAGCCGTTGTTTTAAGTGCCCTGCGGCCTGCCGCTGCACTTTTCCTGCCCGGCCTCGCATGCAGAGGCCCGGCGTTGGCCTCTGGGCCTCTGCCGTAGCACCTGGGCTGCAGCCGGGCCCAGCAGCGGCACCTGGAATGCTCTGTATGCACGGGGCGTTCCCCTCCGTTCGGACGTGATTCTGCAGAGAACTGTAAATCGAGACGTTATGTAAGCAGTGTATCTTGGAATGCAATTGCTTTTTTGAAATTCCATTCATTAATGGGTTTTTAATTGAAGGAATATGTATTTATGGAAGCGAGATACTTCCTAAGTTATAGCAGTAGTTGGTTTGTCACTGGCTAGCTGGACTCCAAGCTTGTGAAGGAGAATTTTCTCTTTACCTCACCCTCTTTCTACCTATTCTCATTCTCTTTCTTTCACATACATTACAAGCACTTGCCTAACTCAGGGCGGTTTGTGAAAAGCGAAGAGGAGGAGGGGGAGGAGGGGGGAGGGGCAGTGAGGTCTGGTGGTTAGATTGTTGGACCAACTCTTGAGAGATTCGGGTTCTAGTCCACACTCAGCCATGAAACTTAGTGGGTAGCTTTAACCTAGTCAGTCCCTCACAGGGTTGTGAGAATAAAATGGAGTAGAGGAGGACTATGCAAGCTGGCTTGAGGGGAAAAAAGCACACTATACATACGACAAAATGACAATAATAATGTAATGGTAAAGAGCAGCAGAAAAACCCATTCAGATACAGTAAATGAACAAATGGGATATTGTAGTTAAACTAGGGTTTATCTGCTACCTTTGCTTGTTCAGGGCTACTCACACAACTGATCTTGCAATCCCCGTAACAGTTCGGTAAGGCGGCAGCCTGCCACTCCTATTCCCCATGACAGAGAAGTGGCCGATGTTGACAGAGGGTAGGCTGCAGCCATCTGCCGATGAGTTCATGGCAGACACAAGACCTGAGCAGGCAGTTTCCCGGGCCATGGTGCCGTTTCGTGCACGGCCTGGACGGCTGGCGCGCATGCTGGGGTGGGGGGCAGGCACCGACCAGTCGGTGTTCGCCTTTATGGGGTTTCCACAGGGGGCCCTCCAAGGAACGGACACAAATAGCTTATGTAAATGACATGATAGAAACTATTTTTATTTTCATATTTATGTTTTCCTGTTTGCTGCTGTTGGGAACCACCTTGAGTCCTATGGTTAAAAAGGCAGCACAAAAGGCCTTTGTTAAAGAACCGTTCTTGGGTGGACCCAGACTTTCTTTGAAGAAAGCTGGTATATTTTCAGAAGTCAGTTTTCAGGTATATCAGTCCAAATCCTAGCTGCTGATGTGTTGTTAGTGTTGGCCACAGTTAGCCGCCTACAGAGTGGACCCTTTAACCATGGTTAGGGTTGACAAGGAAAGACTGGAGCAAATGCAGAAGGGGAAGGGAGTTTGTGAGTCCATCGTCTGTTAACCATGGCTAGGAGGCTGGCCATGTTCTGCCTCCACCAGCCTCTATACAGCCTGGTTCTTATAGTCCTTAATAGCTGGATGCTCTTCTCATTTCTCTAGGACATAAGAAGAGTCTTGCTGGATTAGACCAAAGGTGCTGCCAGCACAGGGTCTTGTTTCCTACACAGATGCCTCCAGAAGCCACCCAGCAGGGCAGGGATGCCTCTGCTTGTGGTGGACCAGTGGAGCCGTCATAACGTGCCTGTCTCGGGGGGAAGGGGGATCCTCCTCCATGGATTAGTCTCTTTCATCAGATACTGTTTTTGGAAAGACTCTGCAGCAGAACAACCATACTGACAGAACGACAGTAGCACATCCTCTGGACTGGCTACCCTCTTGGCTTTATTTATTATAGTTATATCCCATCTCTTTTCCTTCTTGCAAGCAACCCAAGACAGCTTACTTAATCCTCCTCCTTAATCCTCACAACAACAACCCTGTGAGGTAGGTTAGGCTGAGTTTGTGGCTGGCTGAACATTGGCCAGCAGGTTTTATGGTAAAAGGTCGCAAATCCCTGTCTGACACTTTAACCACTACACCACATGTCCTCTCCTGGTTATCAGTATTGCTATTTTTTTGCATGTGTGGTAGCTCAGATTTCCTTTTTCCTCCCCTTTTTTGACAGGGAAGAATGTATCTTCACCATTGATCCATCAACCGCCAAGGACCTCGATGATGCTTTGTCTTGCAAGCAGCTTCTGGATGGTAGGAAAAGTTTTCTGTGGCACTTTAGGCTTCATGTGTATTTTCATTGGAAGCCGCTGTCATGTGCTCTTCAGATGTGTCATTCGTAACGAGAATTAGGATGCTGAATGGAGCACTTGGCTGGCGATGATTACTCGTATCATGCATGCGGGGAATCCCGCTGCAGGTATCTCAGCTGAGCAGGCCTGAGAAGAGAGGCCCGCCGTGAGGCCTTGGTGAACTGTTGCTAGTTGAACATAGCAAGGCGATCCATTGTAAGAACCACTTGTATGCACAGTGCTCATGAAAAGAGCCCCTCCGAACTTTCATGAGAGGCCCTGGCTCTGTGGTGGAGCACAAATTTGGCACACACGGGGTGCCAAATTCAGTCCTAGCTGGGGCTGGAGAATAACCCAGCTGAGTCCCTAGAGACCCGTTCACCAGCTGCATGGACAATTCTGAGCTGGACCAGTCCGCCTTGGCAGGAGGCCATGTCCTGCACTAAGTTCTTTGTCCCCAAACTGAGGCTTGCGCTTGTATAGCCCCTGCTAGGAGAGCAGTGAAGCAGCTGGAAAAGCTCTCCTCTTCTTTTCCACTTGGGCTGAGTCACTTTCCAATGATGGGAGCGTCTTGAAATGAGGTAAACGGTGACTATTTTGGTAATTAACCCGAACGGGAAGGCTTATTTTGTCTTGCCACCTCCGCATTGTTACAAATCCTTAATGAAGGCCATTGGCCTGCATTTCAGTAAAAATGACACACAGCTCTCGAGTAGGTGAGAGGAGCGCTTCCTTTGAACCAAGTGCTAATGGAAGAGCTGAGGCAGTGCAGCTGCCGGGACGAGACCCCAGATGCTTGGCCTCGGGCTTCCTGTCCCTCCCAGCAGACAGATCTTTTGGTACAGTAAGGACGCCGTGCGTAAGATCGGGTACACGTAGCTGGATTCCAGTTTAGCCATAGCTTTCTCTGATAGCAAGTCCGGATGAGGGGCTGCTGGTTTGGAAGTGAAATGAGGTCATCCAGGGACCAGTTTCTAGTCCTTTCTGCCTTGTGCAGGTGACATCCGCAGCAAGCAGAAGAATCTGTGTCTGTAAATTCGAAGGAAGATGAAGATCCAGGCACACAGACACACCCCACTTCCAAACAGCCTGAGGGGATCTATGATCTTCCTATGCTAAAGCGCGAAGTGACAGTTGAGAGAAGGGAAGGAGGGAGAGAGATGGGGGAACGTGGCTCACTGACCTTCCCAGAGCCCTAACAGCTTTATTCTGCTGGCGGGGAGAGTTGATCTTCGTGCTCGCATGTGCATGCTGTAAGATTAAGATCTCTCCTCCGCATTGTACGGGAAGGGATGACAAAAGGAAACCTTCCCGTTTTCACTCTCCTGGATCCCAGCCCTACAAGCACGCACTGCCTCACGATGAAAGGGCTGGGTGCAGGGCAGGCCACCGGTTCCTAATCTTAGCTCTGCAGTGCTGCATTGCACCACAGAGTAAAGCCGGCCAGAGCGACCCGTTTTCCTTTCCTCCCTGCTGGAACGCCTCACCACGAAAGGTCTGGACGGGCTGGACTGCAGCTCGTTGGGAAAGCCCCGCAACGTTCCATGACCGGACCCGCCTGGATTGTCCTTATTGGAGCGCTGCTTCTGTGAAAGGAGTCGGGACAAAATGGGTCTCGCACTGCCTTGAACCGATCCTTCCTAGTGAAGACTTAGTTCACCTTCTGGGTTTGCTCATCGTAGTTTGGGGTCATAAAATAACTTCCATCTGGGCTAAGAATAGGAGTGTGCAGTGAAGTTCCTTCTCTTCAGCCAGTGGATCCTTTTATTCTCTGCAAATCCCCACTTCTTTCTTGCATTCTGGTCTGAAACAGTTCCAGGCAAGGTGGAGCATCAGGCGCTGCTGGGTTCCGAACCAGGCCCCGCTCTGTCTAGCTGAGTACCATCATCAGCATGGACTGGCAAGGTTCCTTTCCTGTCTACCTAGAGATGCTGGAGGTTGAACCCAAGATCTTGGGCATGCAGAGCAGTTGAGTGAATTGTGGACATTAATGTAAGGAAGGAATGATGTTTCTTTATAATGAAGCAGAGTGAGCTTGAGCAGCTCTTAGCATCCCCCGGTGTGTTCTCTACCCCCTGCTGTGGCAGCTAAAGGAAGCCGAACCTGTTCTGCTCTTGTTTGTGCTCCAAGGTGACTTGGATGAGTTGCCTGTTTCATTTTCAGTGATGAAGTGATGCCTGATTCTCCCCAAGTTTTCCCAGTCCTGGAGTAAAGGCATCTCCGAGTCCTATGATTTGGTAACATGAACCAAAATGGAGAGCATTCTGAATTTTAACTGATGCTGAAAACAAGATGCAGGCACAAGGAGAGTGTAATTGGAGATGGAGGGTGGGCAGCGGGAACCCACAAAAGCACTGCAGGTGGTTCCCGTCTTCCTTAGCTGCTTCCTGACAATTAAGTCAGTGCTGCAAGATGGCCAGTTCATTGGCAGCTTATTCTGGACACTGGCTTGTGTTTTGTCACTAGAAAAGTAGCAGTGGCAGTACAGTATGAAGATCAAAAACGGATTCCCAGCTCGATGTAGTCAGGCATTTGTCTTGGAGGACTGGCAGCCTTGTGCAGGCTCCTGCATAATGCTTAATGCATTGCGTGGCCTCTACAGTGGGATATTTCTGACATTCTTAATTTAACATTCTGTTTGTCTGTATATTTCTACACATCATATCCAGTTTGACCAAAGCGTTGTCTCTGAACAAGATTACAGGCTGCGAGGCTAATTCAATTGTTGGGGCATCTACCCATGTTTTGCTGCACATTCACCCCCTTCAAAGAATGCCTTAAGAGGCTGTTAAGCTGTGAGAGGTCCAGAACAGCAGTCAGCCGAATCTATCAAAGCTGGGTTCTCCCTTTGCATCCCTGAAGACTAAAAAAGTCAGCTGAAGAAATCGGGGACCTTAAGCTTTCTTTAAAAAAATAAAATAAAATTAGTGGAAGTGCAGGCTCACCAGCTGCAGAGTTCTGGGCATATGCATGCAACAGTCTGATGGCATACGTGCATATCTTAACAGAAACTGGTTTGGCTTTTGCCTCCTTCAACTGCATCTCTGTGGCAATAGTTGGTAAATAAGCTGTGTTCTTCTGTACTGAAGTGTGTTCTGACCGGTTGTTCCCATTTTGTAGTTGTTACGTTTGCAGATGTGCAGTTCCCCAAACAAGTGTGGAGGCCTGTCATTTTACCTACACGCTGGATGAGGCGTGCTGTTTATTTGCATTCAGTGATACAGCTTGTACTGCATACCTTCAAGTGATGCTTTGTTTGATTTAATACGACCTGTGAATCATATTTACCTTTATCTCTCCTAGATGTAAAGCTCCCACAAATACTTATAAGTCACTTTTCGGCCTTCCAACCAGAAAGACCTCAAAGTAGCACATCACAATGGAAACATATAATGACAATAGAAAGCAAAAGCAACCAAACAACCAAACAAAAAACCTAGAAGAGCATGATAAAGCTGAGCAGGCATGAAATTAAGGCAAGGGGCCATCCAGTGTCCATAATGACACTTCTCATCAGGGGAGCAAATAATTGCACATTAAGCCTCTGCCTCTTGAGCGCATTTCCAAAGACTGATGGGGAGAGGATGCACAGGTCTCTGCAGAGAAGAAACTCTGCTGTTGGGACGCCGCATCCAAGAAGGCTGTCCCCCGCTGGCCAGTTAGCCCTGTTGGAGCGAGCAGTGAGATGGTGGGGCAGAGCCTCCGTTTGCGATGCAGCAGGACAGCGTTAGGTAAGGGTCGGTGCTCCTTTGGGTACCCCAGGCCCACGTCCTTCAGGGTTTACTCGTGATCGTCCTGAGGCCTCATGTTCATTGGCAGGTTCTGCCACTGCAAGGTGTGGTCTTGGCCACTGCCTTGGGTGGTCTTTAAAGGGGGAAGTCTTTTAATGGCTGCAGCTTATGGGACCTCTGGGCTCAGAGGCAGTGTGCCACTGGAGACCGAGTGCCAGGCAGGAGTGTTGTCTTCACGTTCCGCTTGTTGTATTTGCAGGAGGCATCTGGTTAGCCACTGTGGGACTCTGGCTGCTGGACCAGGTCGCCCTTTGGTCTGAGCCAGCATGGCTGTTGCAAAGTTCGTAAGGGTCAGTTCTTGGCGCGGCCTCTGCTTTGTCAGTGTAGAATGGGTTATCTCTCTGTGAATATTGTGAAGGTATAAAGCTGGCTTTCCCCAGCTGAGGAGGCATTAATTTGGCTTCCTCTCCAGCAAGTGCAAAAACAGACACCAAATTGCCTGCGCAGGAGCATAAAAAGCGAGGAGGGTCCTCGGAGCAAAAGGGCAGCTTCAACAAGGCCTCCGTGCCAGCCTCTTGCCTTCACATGTTATTGGAGTAATGTACCTGCTTCACATCTGGTCTCCTGGATCCTGACACATCTCTGCAGGCCAAGGAGCATGAAGCCTGCCTGAGTTAATGCAGACATTATTTATTTTTAATTTATTTATTGTGTTCATATACTGTTCAATAGCCAAAGCTCCTTAGGTCAGATAGAGTTTGCGTGCACACTAACACGCACGCGTATGCATACATGCGCACAACCTCAGGATCCTCCTCCTCGGAACAGGATTCATATCCTCTGTGCTCAGAATGATTCCAATTTGCGAAGGCTGTTGGGTGCCACTTCCCTTCTCTGTAAATTCAGTGGTATTAATTTCCTGGTAGAATTAACTCTCTTGAATCAAGCATGGAATAGTAATAAAAACAGCTTGTGGCGTGATTTGCCAGGAATTGTCTTTTCTCCCTTCATCTCTTTGGCGGGGAGCCTTGGTGTTGAGTGGGGGCTTGTGGAGTCAGCCAAGTTCAGAAAGTTCTCCTGTTCTAAGTTCCATCCATTAGCGAGAATCTCTTTCTCTCAGTGTCTGAGAGAGAGTGAGCGAGCGAGCGAGCAAGCGCCGATCTTGACAGAAACATCAGTGCTTCTCGGCTTTGACTTTCTTAACTGCTTGGCTTGGTGGGAGGTTTTCTGC